AGCAAGTCTAATCATACTGTAAATAGTGGAGTATAGAAGTTAACGTGACATATTCTAAAGTCATGATATTTATTAAGTTAAAGAAAACGGTAATATAATTTAAATTTCAAATTAATGGTCTTAAACTTGAAAATGTACCGTCCTCCACATATTTAGGATTTAAAAAGCAAGAAGATGCCAAACATAGAGCCAGAAAAGCATTGTTTAAAATGAAGCAACTTTCTCTAGAAAAATAACATCCCAGTCAAATTACACTATAACGATATTTTACGTCAGCGAATTATATTTGGCAGGACATTGAATACTAGTATGCGTTTAGAAATTTGGTGCCAAGATTTTGCAATTTTGATATCAATGAAATTTGACTATGATTCTGGGATGTTGATAATTTTCCTTTTTGATTCTGAAAGGTTACTAGTACGAATATGGCTCCCTGTGACATTGTAAAATTCTGTGGAAAGTTGTATTACCAGGCAGTGACTACTGTGTTGTGAAACATACATTTAAGTAAAGAGCATCCATAGTATATAAACGGCACGATGATTTCTGGTCTTCATAAAATTTTGAAATATTTACTTCATGGGTTTCTCGTCTTTTTTGTTTTGATTTGGTATCAGCATATTTTTTAGCTCGTATCCTTGTTTAAATAATCTCTTCGCAATAAATACACAAAATCATTTTCAGTGCGTTTACGATTGAGCCTGACTTTGCGGATCCTGTCTGCTGCCCTCAACGACGGTATGAAGTCGGTTGAACGGTGACTATTTGTATCACTCCTGTACCGCTCAAAAAGAATGCAAAGTACATACACTTGCCCCAAGACACATCATACATCACCATGACAACAACAACAACAAAATTGTTTTTAAATATAAATTTCTGCATTTATTATCGTCATGCGTTTATTACAGGCTTACATCGGCGAAAGAACCCGACGAACCCAACAGTGTATGCGTACACCACGTCACTGTTCTTGTATGATTTGTTGATGGGCGTACAGTTAAAGGGCGGTGGTCGTCGCGCAGCGCGTGTTCGAATTTCATGTAAATAAGTATACGTCGCTATGGGTTCCACATCGAGCAGGACAAGGCTCCACGACCACTGCCCTTTTATATGGCTAAGGTCATGGCGTTACATACCAAGTGTAAGTACTGCAAAGCCCTTTGGATTTAGTTTTCTGGTAAAAAATACTTGACTAATCTCAATGAATGTAAGTTCAGTGTATGAAAACCGCCGTCGTATACAATTCTATAATTGGCATTTGACCCATCGCGGGCGGCGATAATTTCCCTGCTACCTGAAAATGAATATGTTCATAGGCTACCATAGTTACGATACTAATTGAAGTACATGTAATCGAAATATATATCTGCGAACGATGGGTTTTATATTTGGAGCATTTTGAGTAAATCTCGAAAGACACCAAATAGACTCGTGGGTTTAATAGATGGGCGGTTAAGGGTTTTCTAGCCAATGCTGGTTTGAATTTAAAGTAGAGCGGGGGGGTAAATGTTATATACAGCTCGATAAAACCGCTCATGGCCATCTGAAATAGTGTAATTTATATTTTTTTCCAAATTAAAGTAAATTGAAATAAGCTGGCCTATATGAAAAACGCTGTGAAAATTGTATTGATATAAAGCGGCAATAGTTGTAATTTTGAACATTTTTGTTTGGATATAACCACATAGAAATCTCACCGAAATATTGTTTAGACACAATTACATTGACAAAAGTGATACACAAGGCTATATCACATAAAATGCGATGTAAAATCTAACGGTCATGTAGTCGCCACAGTCGTTGAAATCGACCACGTTATGGGGTCGTAGAAAACTATGGTGAACGACGCACACTATTATGGGATGTGACATACAATTATCAGTGAGAGGCCATCGGAGAAAGGCTTAGCCACTCAAGATGGTGACGTATTTGATATGATTTCACCCGGGGCTCCGGTAAGTTGTCATCTTCTACCATATAATCCCTGAAGCTCGTTTGACAAAAACTGGATTTTAATAGATAGCGCCCCCTGGGGACCTGGATGCAACCACGCGACCTTCTTTTTTTCACTTGCCAAGTAATTTATTGTACAACGTCAGTGTCTACATTTTGGCGATGGTCTTTTACAAATTAAAACTAATTGATACAAATGTTTCATTAAAAATAACAATCGGAGAAAAAAAAAGATCGATAGTTACAGACATTCCTGCTCAGGCCCAAATAAAACTGAAACTTTCCAGTAAATAACACATTATGAAATACAATTAAAATGTTCTCACTCGTATACCTCGAATAGTTGTGTGTTTGCCCAAAGTTTGTTTTCGTTTTCTGTATGCCATCATGGATATTTATATGAATATTCATTGAGCGTATGGATACAATAAACGTGGAACATTGGAACTAATTTTAGTTCTATGGTGAGACCCATGTTCAAATTAATGATTGAAATTGAAATGATGTACAACATTATCTATAAAAACAAGTCTCGACTTCCATTGTGATATCAGACCATTTGCAAGGACAGAAATAACTAGTATGCTGATAAACCAACACAAGACATTGTATCTAAAAGTTCATGTTTTGCGATTCCATAACACAGGGACGACACCATGATCAAGTTTGGTTAATGTACGGTGAGCCGATATGAGAGCGCCTTCGGGCTTGGGATACTGACTTCCTGGCATCATCTGCATCATGCATGCAATTGTCTTCGGTAGTCCGAGAATTAACAGAGAATCTCGGCCGAGCATATAATAATACGAACGCGTGGTCCCGCTCCCATAATCACCGCATGCGTACCAAATACGGTTATATCATAGTTGTGTGGCATCATTCCATGATATCCAGTGACAAGTTTTGTTATGCGAAGTATTACATTTTTGTTTACTGCCAGGGAGCCCGTACAAGACGTAGATTACTGTTCATCTGTGGAAACTGACACCAAATATGCATCTTAGCGTACTGATCTACCGTTGAGAAGTCGGTCGTCTTGAGAACTGAGTTAGGAGCATTGACCTGACCTCTATGTAAAAACGAGTATAAATACTGGCACATAGACGACGAGTGTATCATGTTATCACTGACTACAATGTGTGTCATATTTCGCTGTATTCTCACAAGTCGGCACTTACAGAGAGGTTATTTTAGGCACACTTCATAGTATTAAATTAATATTAATAATGATAATTTATTTCGTCACCGACCGATTGTTGTTGCCATGACAGCAGCGTGTAACTTGCTCATTATTTGTTATTAGTAATGTGCGTCTGGCCACTTCTGAACGTAACGTTTTGGCTTAAATTACGTCATTCTGTCAGTTGGCTGTATCGCAGTGATATACATTTACAATATTTGAATTATTAAGCTTTCAGAAAATATTTAACTTTCCTTTCCAAAAAGCGAGGCGAAAACAACGTTTGCACGTATTGATTACCCAGTCCTAAATATAGTATAGTATAGTATATTTTATTTGACACAAAATAATGCATGGAAAATACATCATCTATGGCCAATATACATTACTTTATAAACAAACAAACAAACAAGCAAATAACAAATAAACAAACACTGTAAAAATATATAATAAATGTTAGAAAAAATATATATATAAAATCTGTGATTGTGCGCTGAATTTAGAAATGTCGTCATTTATTGTAAACTGGCTGGTAGTTCAAGTGTACAGTGAATGGGTCACATACCACGATTGCAACTGAACATGTCTCCATGCGCGAGGTCATGCATGAGGTCACGAATAAGTTTAGTGTCATTGAGTATTTTTAAACCCGTTTTTTCAACGGGTTTCTTTTTCAAACTGACAGAATAAATGCTCGTAAGTATTGTACTTCTTTCTCGTGATGTTTGGCAGTATCGCGACTTTTCCCACACTGAGCCACAGATCTAAATGAGTTTCTATTAATCCAGCGGACCAATACATTCTCGCACTGTGGACACTCTGTGGGATATGTTTGTTATATAATGCATTGACCTTTCGAAAGGCAAAAAAAAATTAAAAAAAATAAAGCGAGCTATCCACGGTATGCTTACGTCACACTCAGTTAAATCTATTCGTATTTCAAATTTGCATACTCATTGTTCATGAAAGTTGTGAGGTCTTGTCATGGCGTGTACGGTTTTGCCAGACGACGGCAAGACGGCGTGAAGGCAAGTATTCTTAGTAACTGCGCTGTTATCGCAGCGAGATACGTACACTGTTGCCCGTTTTAAGAGTCAGGGAGCACGGTGTGTTATTAACTGGAATCTCAACACATTGGCTGCTGCACTTTGAATCGGATCGCCGTAGTCACAATGGTTGACGTTTATAGGTGTGTACTGCCTACGTCACGCTGCCAAAGGACCTGATCGTCTCAATATAGGGCGTCTACAGAACCATTACCGACCGTAGCGTGAAATATTGGATGCTGCAAATAGTCGGTTTGTTGGACGTGGACGAGCCACCGCTCCCAAACCACGCTTATGAATACCAACATTACATGTTTGGGAGTTAATGTATAGCCAAGCTAATTGTTGTATCGTGGTGTAAACCGGGACAACTGGACTTCCGTGTTTCGTTTGAACAAGGACGTTGGACAAGTTATGTGCGCATAGTATAGTATAGTATAGTCTTGCAGCAACACCCACAGCAACCACAACAAGCGCAGAACATTGCCACGTCATTGCGAAAAACAAGGAGGAAGGACATGCTCAAAATACCAGCTCTGTTTTAACGAGGTTTATTTGTACGAGGTATGTGTGTTATAACATCCATATTGTCTTCGCTGTTCTTCACTTACAGTGACATATGGGACGTATTTTAGGCGTGACATCTTATTTTACTTTTTTTATTTCTCAAAAATGTCCCATACCGGAATCGTGATCAAGTTGAAGCTTCTATCAGTCCTGCAAGCCAACTTCCCGAGTTCGTCAACTTGAAACAGAAACCTTAGTGTCGTTTAATGAAGCGGAAAACACCATTCGCCACCCGTTCCAGCTCTCGACTTAAATTTAAATTGGAGAGCAAAAATCAAGACCTGGCGGTCAGTCGGCAGCTTTTATTTGTATGCACTGACACGTGCACTTGTCTCATTTACACACATTTCTTCACAGATATAATCCATATTTTATTCCCCTTGTGATGACGTACATTGTATATTATGTGATCACTCTCGCGGCAAGTCAGTGACAGCCGTGAACTCGCTCAACATGCCTGTGGTCCGGTACTCGTTACGTGACACCAATTATGCTGATGATATGTGACGATACCGATATCATTACATAAAGTTACACGAGTTACGTTGCCAATACTCTATGCAACGTAAGTGTGTATGTTATAATAGCGATGTCAGACACGCCATAGGAATCTCTGTGTGTCTGTGTTGGGTCATGGCCGGACACTGTCTTGGAGGACACGTCGTATGAAGCACGCCCTCTCAGTATGATCAACGTAGTCAACTCAGTATAAATATTACTGTGACTGTCTGACGACCAATTTAATTTTCATTCGGCCTATTTATACGCACGAAATTGAACTAAATTGAAAAAAATGAAAACCATAATGCTCAACACATTGAATTACGTAACGCAAATGTACCTTCCCCGATTGTTCTGGAAGTTGGTTGTGACAGCAACGAATGACCAAATATTTGTTTCACAAATAAGTATGACAGATGTCATGAAATCAACGTTGAATAAAATAAAAGAAAAGCGTGACACAGATGTTTTCGGGCGTTATTAAAACAATGACATTTACGACTAATTTAGTACATTTGATATTCATTGTTTTATCGCTCTTTTTACAGCTGGACCTCGGAACAACGCCAATACAGGACTCTGGGAATGACCATGGAAAACTAACATCTTTGATTTTTCCGGATACATAATGTGATTTCTTAGTGATATTTATATACGTAGACGGCAGACATACAATTTTGTGGACATGGCGATTTTTCGGCGAGGAAGAGCGTCGTATGTCCTTCTCCTGTGTGTGGCCATGATGCTTAGTATGACGCTCAATTTGCGCCTGCTTCTGAACTCGCCGAACACAGAACAGTTCGATACGGAGGAATCACCGTTTAAAAATAAAAACCCACGATGGCAAAATAGGGCTGTGTTAATGCCACCTGGTAAAGAGAACCCAGGAGAAACAATGCCGGCTGCAGATGCTATGGATCGTCAACATTATTTAGATATACACCATGGCATGGGTGAGCGTTTTTTTTTATTCTCATAATATACTTAGTATATATATATACCACCAGGGAATACAATATATATCATAAAAATATAATACATATTAAAAACAATTATAGCTGATTTATATTCACTGTGGTTTGTTGAAGAGCGATTGTCGGTAGTCTAAACAGTTGTATGCGACCCCATATCGAACACGACTCCGCAGCGAGTCACGACTATGGCTGCTCTGACAAGTCCCTGTGTTTAAAGTACAGTGTGGACAATATTGAGCAAAGTTTTGTCATTATTTACATGTAAATATATACGCAAATTGCAGTTTGACGGAGCTGCACAAAATGAGCATGCGTAGTGAATAAATATTACGTACTACATATTATTTTGCGGAGAAGGATGTTGAGAATAAGTATAAACAATAAGAAAAGTTAACATTATATACGAATTAATGATAAATTGTAATGATTTGAACTATGTGTTGAAATTGTTTCATTGTGTGCTTTAATTATTGACACAGATGTTTGGCATAACCATTATTTTTATATTGCTTTTGGCGTTTATGTGTCATTTATTCTGATGCATGTTTTTTTGTGTACGAGATGCATACATTTACGTACGAGACGATATCGTTTTTCATAACAAGTAAAACGCATGCGTTGCTAGTTAAGTTTTACAATGTAATCGATGCAACAGAATATTCGAGCCAGTCTACTAATATTACCTTTCCTAAAAGGGCATAGTTTGTAGTGTTTTTTTAAAGGAGGGGATTTGTGTTCCCTAAAGACGACAGACAACTCTTTTGTTTGTTCCACTCTGTAAACGTGCCATATTATATCACAGTTATCTGAGAGATTTTCGTTGGACCGATTTGCTTGTTTATGTAACAGTTTATTCGTATGTATAGTACAGTTGGCAAAGTTTCAACATACACACATTGACATAAGTCCATGTTTTATTTTCTGACCTTTTGGGTCAGCGGAAGGCGGCGAAATGTCCGGAAAACGGAAAAAGTGTTGACCCTTGCTGTTTATGGAACCTCTGAACTGTAAGAAACCCGTAACAGAACGATTGCAAATCGCCGAGAGCGATCAGTGCTTTCTTTCAACATAGGATTAAACGAACAGGCGGGAGGAAAAGATAAATTAAAATACCAGACATTTATAACTGAAACTTAATGTTTTGTGAAACGTTAGTAATAACAACTACTCGAATATACGTAATACATATATATAATACTAGTACTTCATACCGATGGCGAAAATCGGCCTTTGAACCGCATTTCCATAGTAATTGCCACAACTGTTCTCAGGATAAATCAGCCACATTGAACCGAGCAGTTTAAATCCCGTCGATTCGAACGTTAATGTCAGTTTTTCAAATCATTAGAGTATTGTCTACTGAAAACTGGGGTAATCGAGGAAAAAAATAACGAATGAAGCCAACTCAACTCGTAAGGTTGCAGCTTGAGAAAAAGTCGTTATGGTATTACGATGGACAATGACGATCGTTCGGGTACTCGTTTTTTTATGACTTTCGGATCTTCGTTAATTGAATGGTATTAATTATAATTTTTGTTTGTTTTTCAGCCAACATTACAGCAACCCCATTGAGGGTAGGGCCAGGTGAAATGGGAAAAGCGGTGACTGTCGCTAAAAGCGAAGAGGAAGAAATGGAAAAGATGTTTAAAGTGAATTATTTTAATTTAATGATTAGTAACAGAATATCCAACGACAGGAGCTTGGCTGATTATCGTCCTCAAGGGTACGTATTAATGCCCGATAATCGTTTACAATATTGGCTAAAAATGAGATGTACATTTATTGGCGATAAGATTACGCCCTTGTCAATTTAACGCCGTGCACCTGTTGGAATCGCCACTGAAAGGCCACGTGTCACGCCCACAAAGATTCAAGTTGATAAATAGATGTACTCAGGCCAACGTAACAATTTTAATAAATGTACTGAGTCGCCACGTTAAATACAGAAAAACAATCCACAATGAATTGAAGAAATCCGTCACTCGGGAAAAAAAAATCGCGTGAAATAATTAAAAGATTACGATTTTGGAGAATGGTAAAGTTGTACTTCTCCGAGTCGTTCCATTGAGGAAGCCTAATGGTGTTGGTTTATACTATTTCGCTGAGGGGGTGGTTGACACGTGTCAACATGTACCCAATAAGCGCCGTGGGAAAATAACATAATCATACATAAATGTGGCATCGTGACGCGATGCGATGTAGAATATTTTTTCAATAATACTTTGTTTATCTCACAGATGTTTTGCGAAAAAATATTCACGTAACTTGCCGAAGACCAGCGTTATTCTTGTCTACCACAACGAAGCATGGAGTGTTCTTATGAGAACTGTTCACAGCGTGATTAATAGATCACCCAGACATCTACTGGAAGAAATATTGCTAATTGATGACGCTAGCACCCGAGGTACTATAAATTACGTCAAGTTAGTGTAACCTTTAATTGTAGATCCATGAATCGACTGAGCATCCGCAAACACGTCACAATAAGCAGCGCCCTCTAGCGCCAGAGCGATTCCGTGACGTAAACGGGCGAAAATAAAGTCGTTTACACGGCGAATATATTGTTTCGGCTTACAGTCGCCTGCCAGTAAAAACTAGCGTTTTTTTTTAGAAATTTGATCTTTTCGAAATGACGAATTTACAACCATTGAATCATCTTTAAACGTCAATGCTTGCACCCTTCGACTCTAGAAGGCGCGACATATTAGAACGAGTTTGCAATCTGTCCATATGGCTGCAAATAATTTAAACAATACAAACATAAGTTTTAGTTTGTTTACTACGTCTGTGCATGTATTTCGCTGGTATCTTTATCTTATCTGTAGTAAGTGTGTGCATGTACTATATTGTACCAATAAATTATAAAGCGCTGATATATATGCTAATTATTTAAGCCATAAAAATATTATCATGTTGAGTGTAAGAACCGCATTGTATGGACAGAGTGCAGCTACCTCCGTCACGTTGCCATGGAGAGAACATTGCAATCTCTCATCATAGATAAGTTCATGCCGCGTGCACCTCTATAACACACTTGCGGCACAAAAAATATTCGCTCAAAATAACGATTCTTACTCGGTTACGTCAAGGGCGGCCTACTATACCCTTTATTTACACGAGAAACGTATGTTTCATTATTTGTTTGCACACAGTCAATTTTTCCACCAATATTAATGTGTATTACAAATGACACGTCCCGTTTTATGAGGTGTTGAAGGCAGGAAGTGATCTATGGTCATGTGACTTCTATGACTAGTATAGATGCCATTGGAGGCAGCCTGATCAAGTATATATATATATATATGCCACTTAAACTATATAATCATGGATCCTTTCAAATAATGATGGGACCACCCATGCACTCACACTTTACCACTGCAATTCGAATACAAATAGAAAGTCCAGAAAACAGCAAAAACTCAACTTTGAGGAACCTTGAACAACCAAAATTCTATACAAGCATGTCGGAGTAATCTTGTTACACTGTTCAGGACAGTCTCAATAACTCCTCGCAAGTACAGCTTCTGAAAGTTTTAGGCCTTTGTTTACATCGGTAACTTAATGGTTGCCAGTCGTTAAAAATGCCTGGATGTAGTGGGATCTGCCATTTTATTTCATTTCGAGCTTTACTACAAATTAGTACGTTCTCATTACATATCTGTTTTATTGTGTGTCAGTCTATGGCAAAAATGATTGATTGCAATGCCTGTGATTTTCTAAACGTCAATAACAATGTAACAACATGCTCGGAATTATTTATACTGCCAGCTGGTATTAACTTTATATTTAACATTTCTTTTTAGAATATCTTGGAAGGCCACTGGACGACTACATCACTAAGTTACCGGTGCCTGTGCGAGTGCACCATGCAAAGGAGCGGCGCGGCTTGATTGGTGCGCGTCTTAAAGGCGCAGAGCTCGCCAAAGCACCGGTGCTCACATTTCTCGATTCTCACTGCGAATGCAGTAAAGGGTGGTTGGAACCGTTGCTAGACAGGATAGCAGCGAACAGGTGCGTACGTACAGTTATGTTAATTAGAATAACGTCTTGAATTACGCGTGACATTCTTTTCAGTTTAGATATTTAATGAAATGTGACAATGACACAAAAGCCAATGACATTTTGTACCGACAGCTGCGAGGAAATTGACTGTAATTTTCTTCAGATCGTCAATTACCATGGAAACTTGAAGTACAGAGAATGAAAAACAATATAGGGGTTCCGGCTCATGCAATTGTCTTAGAAACAACAGTTCGTATTAGAAAATATTGAATGGAAAGTGTTCCTTTTGCACCCTCCTATAACCCGAACCCTGCTTCCAAGCGCTTCCAAATTTAATTTCATAGGCCCCTCCAGGGGGGAGTTGCATGACACGATTGGTTGAAATATTCTTCTCATTTGCATAAATTAATATTCATGAGCAATGAAAAACTCGTCTTTTCAGTAAAATTGTGCCAAAATGCTTTCCGATAGCATACATGTTAGTTTTAAATTGATTGATTCTATCGTTACGAGCTGAAAAAATAATCGGAAAAATTATGTAAAGGTAATTTTTGAGACACATTTTGATCAGACTCCAGCTAACTATTGAAAGTAAACACAGGTTTTCTCTTTACCATGATCATAGCAAGTTATGAAATTCATGGAGAATGCAGAGGCACGTTTATATTTCACCCTAGTACT